TGTCTCCTGCTTTTACCTGGTGTGCTGTGGGAGTGTCATTTAACCAAGTCTCCCATGGGGAGGTGAGTTCCCATTGCTAGATGCTCAGCACTCTTTCCCGTGTTATAGATCAAGGTGGACATTCCTCGCTACTTAGATCTAGTCTTTTGAATTATGCAATGGCTGTGTATGACTGGCTTAATCCAAGTGTGTTTAAAATTAGCCTTTAATCTTATGCAAGCCCCAATGTCCCCAAAAATGAACTTGTCAGTGCAAAGCAGACCACACTAAGCAGTATTAATTAACACCAGAAGAAAAAACACAAAGGATTCTCTTTGATCATCGCTTGAAGACTTTTTGTGCTTACCTCTAATTTCCTCTCCTGATTTGAAATAGCAAGTTTAGGTTATAGCTCTTTGTTAGAATAATAATTAAAACAATCTAGTCTGTGCATATACATTGTTTAGCTAAAGAACACTAATTATGTGCATATGTTAAGGGACTAATTGAGGTTGAACCTGCAAGGGAGCAGCCCTGATATTCTTCATGAGGCAAAAATTCCTATTAAACATGACAGTGTTAAGCCAAATCTGTAGTTTCCATTGTTACTCTCTTTTTCAAGGTCATTAAGAGATTCTTTAAGCCTGCTTCTGAGTTCTTCTGTCAAAGGATACAGCTTTTTCAAACATTTCTGTCAGGTTTTCTCTGCCCTGTGGGTTTTTAGAGAGACCAAAGGAGCTTCTTGATGGATACTCACTGCTGGGAGCCCTGATGGGACAGGGACACTGCCTCACCACATCTCCAATACCCCAGCTAGAAATTGCAAGGGGTGCTACTGCCATTTCCCTTGGGAAATTCCCTTCAGCGATCCTCTGGGCTGGAACCGGGGCCAGGCAGGCCAGCTGGACGGTGTGGGCCCTTGCCACCGAGCAGATAAGGTGTCACAGCTGTGCCCAAAGGCTGTTCCCAGGTTTTTCTTTACATGTAAGTGAGACGTGTAAGAGGAGTATCACTGTGGGTGCACAGGAGAGGGCCATGGCATTTTACTTTCTTATGTAAAAAGCAAACAAGGGAGACAGCAAATCCTCAAAGCTAGAGGCAGCTCACCTGGAGCAATCCAAGTAGAAATTGCCTGTGTCTATCCTGCATTAAATCCCAAATTTCAAGATGATGAGAAGGATCACATTGAATTCTCAAAAAATTGAGTCTTTTTTTTTTTTCCCCATTTTTTGAAAATCCATAGTAATTCCATTGCCCAGTGCAGGTATTTCAGGGTTTAGCACACCCAGTTCCTGACTGAACAGGGGCTCTGCAGCTGTCCTACACAGGATAATGTTTGCAAGAGATAATCCTCATGTCTCGAGAAGCATTGCTGACAGAAGCCAGGGAGAAATGCTTTCTCCTTCTCCCACAGTAGCTGGAGTATTTCATAACCATCCAGATGCATTACAAGAACTTTATGTCTTTCTCTAAAACAAATGGTAGAAAGCATTGTCAGAGAAAGCCCAGGCAGATTGTATTTCTCCCCACCATATATCACTACGGTTAGCTGGAGATTAAATTTCTCTTTTGTATTTAGGCAATCTTCCTTTTATTTTCTTACTAATAGCAGCCAGAGGGAAAACACCATAAATCCTTTTATTACGTATGCACTGCACGAATACTTTGTACTTCTTCCACGCAGCACTACTTCTGCTGTCATTTAAATCAAAGGTTGGCCCCAGTGTTAGTTAACAGAGACAGTATCTGCACGATGGCCCTCCCCACGCTTGGTCGGTGATCACATCGCAGAAGAGAGGGCAGGAGGAGACAGGGTTACAAATACTGGCACTGCTTCATATCGACTATTTTACTGCCTCGGTGTTTGTGCTCAGTGCTTTGCAAGCTCCTGAAGATTTACATCCCAATCCATCCGAATCACTGTGCAAGGCTAAGTTAACCTTGACAAAGCCGTATCCCTCGGTCCTGAATTTAAAGTTAGAAAAATGGAGCTTGCTCTCACACAGCTTAGAGATTTCTCTTCCATATCTGCCACATTTAATGGCCAATAGAGAGCCATGTTTCTTTCCGTAGAAGATGGCAGGAAGGATGGACAAAATTAAACTAAATGCAGACATTGTAAGTGCTTTGGCTTCACTCAGAAAAGAACTGATTGGGATGTTTGAGTTGCAAACGAAAGAGCTCAGGTTTGGGTACAGTCTCTGACAGGGAATTGCTCATGTCCTATCAAACACAAAGTAGTCAGTCGGCTTTCTCTGCTTGCCTTCTGGCAGAAAAATATATGCCCACAGTTGATTTCATTATGAATTATTAATTATTCTCCAGTTCAGGCCACATACTGGCTGCTGCTTATATTAATTCTGTAATTGTTTCAGTTCCCTAACACTTACTAGAAATGAATCTCAAATAACAATAACCATTTAATAACCGTTTATTACCAACGAAGTAGATTAATAACAAATTGGAGAGAAAGGAAACTTTATCTTCAGGGAGGTCCTAAGAAAGACCATCTCGTGGGACGCAAGTGTTTATAAAATTTAGGTCCTGGTGACAGTGGCCATTAAGTTATATTTATGTGCACACGTTTGCAGACAATGCTTGGTGCTACAGCACGGCGACATCTCTGTCAGGAGCCTCTAGGTGCTGCCACAGCACAAATAAAGAAGACCGAGTGGTGCTTTAATTCCCTTGTTTGGATGTCAGCAATCTTTGTTTTCAACCAACCTGGTGTTCTAGCAGGGTTTTAAACAAGAGAGGCAGTATTTTTCCTTTGCGATTCTTTGATCAACAGTTTAATTGCAATCATTAGTCAATAAAAATAAAAAAAAAGTAAAAAAAAAAAATCAATGCATTGATATCCATTCTGAAATGAGAAGCTACTTAAATACAGGTTTTATGGAAGTATCAGTATTTTTAAAAGTTACTGAAACGCTAAATCCCCTCTCCAGTCCTGTATATACACAGATTTAGTCTCCTCTAATCCTGACAGGGGTCTCCCTCTCTCTCCCATGATTTCAAATGTTGATCAGCTACAAGGACTGGAAGCTGACAGAAATCTTTTATGTCTAGAATTTGGAGGCAGGTTTAATGCAGCTTTAAAAAAAATCTTCCAAATGTGTTCCATTTTTTATTTTCAGACCTCAGACTTCACAGAAAAGGAAATCTTGCCCTACCAGCAGTTCCCAAGGATTTTGTTTCCCATCCCACAGCCGGGACAAAGCAGCACATCTTCACCAATAGTGTCTTAATGTACATGGCTGAGGATCTGGTCCAAAAGCATTGCTCAGTATTCGGATGCAGATGTACACCAGATCAAGAAGCTCCACACCCATCCTGGCCATCTTTGCTGAGGCTGGTCCCCACAATCTCATACATATGCACGCTAAAATCTGTAGGAATTATTATACATATATATATATTTAAATCCTCATTTACATATACACCAGTCATAAGTAAAACTCTAGCAGCAAAGCCTCAGAGATGCTAAGGCCGGGTGACTCACAGCATGAGATTTTCCAGCCTGACCCCTTGGGTGTCATTTCACAGTGCCTTTCCCTGAGCCCGGTAGGCTAACTTTCAGAAGGTGTCCCACAAAAAGCTGGAAGATTCACATGGGAAAGGCCCGTCGCTTCCTCCAGCCTTGCAGCGACAGCTACGCCCCATCTCTGATATTATTTATGCTCTGGCAGGAGGATGAGGGGCGCCTTGTTTCTAATTTGAATTCGTCTGCCTCCTGGTGAAACCCCTCTCTGTGAGATTTAAGAGTCCTTTAGAGCCTGCTGCGGGAATGGGTGTAAATTATGCCTTGAATAGAAATTAACTTCGGCAGCTACTGAAGTGCTGAAATTGCTCCCCTTCCCGTTGGAGCTGCTGTGTCTGAGGGGAGAAGGGGTTTGGTTGGCAGCTGAGGCCACAAACTGCCCATGCAAAGGCTGGCAGGAGAGAAAACTCATTTTATAATATGAGGCTACTCAATTCTCATGTCTACCAATACTAGGAATATTATTAGTAGACAAAATTAGTCTTATGACTATACAATTTTTAAAAATAAATAAATAAATTCTTCTCCCACCCTTCACTGCCAAACCTAGAGAAACCTGTTGCAACTCCTCACTTATCTTTATCAGCCTAACCACAATGTGTCCATGCAGAAGATAAATGCTGTTATTATTTAAAATTCCCAGTGCCAGCTCCCAAATTGCTGACAAGTCACTAATCCCAAGAAAATGTATGGTAGGTAATTACAAGTGAAGCATGCTGAAGCCATCCAGTAGATTGCAATCAACAAGATTCACCGAATGAACACCTTGTTCCTCGCTGCTAAGGAGACAGGTTGCTCTCCGACCCTTCCTCCTCCCCTCACTGGAAGCTGGCATGACAGCCAGCACAAAATAAAACAAATGAACAAATGAGGCTTTAGCCCCAGAGGTAAATAAATACATCATCTTTCAGAGGTGAGAACTCGGAGACATGCATTTCCACTTGTTTCAGAGCTGTCCCACTGACCAGGGAGGGTTTTTTGCTCATTTAACTATGCTTGAACTGAATATTAAAAAAAAACAAACTGGCAGCAGAGAATGTGGGGAGAAGGAAAAAGGACCAGAAATGAACCCAACATCTCTGCTTTGTCTCCCCAAAACCATTCCAAGAAAGTGCACAGCTACAATGGGCAGTCAGCCCTGAGGAAAACAGTGGTCCTAATGGAGTTCATTGATTGCCAAAGAGGCTGACTTTAGTGGGTTCTGGTAAATACCTCATTTCTTAAGAATGATGCCTGGAGGCAACAGATAGATCCCAGCCTTCCCTGCTCCCATTTATCAGGTTTGCAGGCCTGCAGAGCTCTCCCATTGCTGCCTGAGACCAGTGCATGGGGCAGGCAGCATAGCTCAACCTGCTGGGAGACTGTGTGGCTTCAGAGGACAGGAGCCATCACTGGGAGCCTGAGAGGAAAAACCTTATCTCCAGGATCTGCAAGATGCCCCTGGAGTGTGGGCTGACATGACACAGCCCCCATAGCTCACCTTGGAGAGGGAGGTGGGGGGACGATGCCGTTCCTCTTTGTTTGATGTCCAGTATCTCCTTGTTGTGGTGAGATGATCTCAGAGAAACAGAACGGAGCAGATCCCACAGCTCCATGTGGGACCTTGGGAAGGAAACAAATAGGGCATCAGGGTTGTCATCATGCCAGTGGGGTGCTCTTTGTTATTTTGAGCTATTTAGTGACACACAGTCATGGTTAGGAAGGAGGGAAAAAGGGCTATGAATAGCCTAACAGTACACCCCAAAACTCTGATTCTTGAATTTCCCTTCTGGGGGTAATATCTAAGCTGGTGGTGACACCTAGGCATGATGTTTGGTTTGGGGGATTGCAGAGGAAGAGAGATCTAAGGTCATTTAACCAAGAGTGCAAGGAGCAGCAGCTTGTGGCTTTGTGTCAGCCCAGACCCACAGAAACAGGAGCAGTGCCGCGGTGTGCAGAGCAGCCCTGCGCCTTGGCTGCCTCCTTCCTGAGGTCTTCTGTACATGACAACAGGTCTATCATGGAAAACACCTTTTTTTTCTTTTTCTTTTTTTTTTTTTTTTTTTTTTTTTTTGAGGCTGGTTTCATTTGTTTAAACAAGGCCATTAGAAGCAGCAGATGGGTGTTGATCACACCTGACGTGCTTTGGGGAAGTAAATTTCACTGCACTGTTTGCATGAAGTGAAGACAGCATTTATTAACTCAGCTGAACCACTTAACCCAGGGGGAGCTGCATTGCCAGAGATGCCATAAATCGCAGGGAATGGGAGCAAAAACACTGGAGTTACTGTGTTCCCATTGTATACTGCAAATGAAACAGAGCTGCATAATCCTCCTAACCATAACCAACCATTTCCCCAGCAAAGTGTGGTCTTGCTAGATTTCTAATTGCAAAGGGAAGAAGGCAGGGATTCAATCATATTTATATCTAGCACTCTTTCTCTTAGGAAAATCAATATGATTTCCAGGCACATTCACAATTTAGACTTAAATGATTTTCAGTAAAATATTTCACACAGATTGTTATAGAGAGATATAGCTGCAAAGGATTTCATTCCAAATTAGTTCATGGGTGCTCTGTAAAGAAAAATATTCAGGTTTTGCTCTTCAGCCTCAGATAGGTTTTCCTGCTTATCCAAAACTAACAACTGCTGCATGTGGAACAAAAAGCATCCTTTGGTTGGAGCAAAGGCTTTTTCAGGTATTGCTATTTCATTTCTACACACTTCTATTATTATCCCACTTTTTATTAATTCTCTCTCCTACCCCAATAACACTCTCCGCTCTGTATCATACAAGCTGTTTCTTCCTCAAATGGTTTATATCCAAATAAATATAAAATGCACTGAAAAAAAAATCATAAAAATGAAGCTTTACTTGTGAGAAGCTTTTGGGGTGAGAAAGATTTGTTCTATTTTTGTTCTATTTAGATGCAGACATATCTCTGAGCATAGACATAAAAACATTTCCCCTGACATTTATATATATATATATATTTATTTTTTTTCCTTTAACGTTATGGAACACTAAATAAGGCAAACCAACAACTTTGTGACCTGGAGTTCTGAGGTCTTTCTCCATCAAAATGGACAAAAAGGAGTGATGGCAGCTAGGGAATTGAAGAGCAAGACCAGCATGTCATTACTGACAAAGAATATCTGTAGAATAGGAGGGAAAAGACAGGGAAAAACTATGCTGCCCCGATGAAAGGAAAAGAAGTGGAATATAACAGAGTGTGCAGAGGAAGTTAATATCCATGGAGATGAGTGATACGTTTAGACTGACAGCCGAGAAAGACAGTTTTGACAGACACACATTAGATGAATTAGTGTAGGATGATGCAAGTATATATGAGATTTTTTTAACCTTCTCTTTTCACTTCCACTATTTTTCAGCTAAACATAATATTCCTTTACACAACATTTACAGTCCTAACTTAGTTGAACAAGACTTCCACCAGGCTCTGGAGGCTGGGGCAGGTGGGGAGTTAGAAGCTATTTTCTTAGCTTGGCAGTAAACAGATTTGCATTGCTGTTTCTAAAGACAGGATGGATTTGTTTTCAAACCCGTGAAATATGATAGCAGTAGCAAACATCTTAGTGTTTTTTGGAGGATTTTTGTGCAAGCTTGATGACTTGCAGGATTTCCAGCCTCTTCTGGGCTTAGCAAAGTGTGCTTAGCATGCTGCATGAATGATCTCTTTTGAAGTTCAAAAAAATTGGCAGTTCAGCTACAAATTTGCGAATAATTTAGGGAAATTTTCCAAGAGAAGGCTGCCTGCTGAGTCCTTGGAGACTCTGCAATGATCGTACTGAGCAACACGGGCACCAGATAGGCATGAGACCATTCATGAGGCCTTGTGAATACCCTTAAGTTCATCTTCAAGACTTCAAAAATGGATGAATTTATCAAATTTCTTAAAATCTGATGGTCTCAATACAGTAGTTATCCTTACAAAGAGTCACACTAGCATCACCAGAAAAGTTTGGTACTGCTCAGTGTAGTATAGAGTGCTGACTTGAATTCTGCAACCTAGAGAAATCTTCACAAATAGTTTTTCCGAAGACAGAAGTACTTAAATTCATATGGTGTGAAGTCAAAAATCATGCCCTTTTTCTTGGTCCGAGTGCTGGAATTTTGTCTAATAGAAGATAGATTTATCATGGTGAAATGGTAAAATTTACCTTGTGTTGGTGAGGAGAAAGATCCAGGATGAATTCTACAAAATGTCTTCATTTTTAAATAGGGCCCCTGAGATTCAGGAAGCATCCCTGGTGGAGATATATTTACTGTGACAGGTGCTTGTTGCACTTGTCACCTTCCTTGTGTCCCCAGACATCCGCAGGCCTCCTGTGCCAGCACTCTTGTTGGATTCCTGCATGTGTTCATACATCAACCAAACTGGATGACACAGAAAGCCTTCCCAAAGCAAGGGCTTCTGTATGGCTCCAGAGAAAGGCAAGGGTGTAATAGCTGGAAATCATTACAATTATGCCTTCTAGAGGTTCTTAAAGTCAAAACCTTCCCTGAAACGTAATGACATGTTTTACTTGGACTGAGAACAGAAACAGAAATAGAGCTATACATCAATTTGTACAACATTACGCCCATTTAATTGAATTAATTTAGAGGTAGAAATATGACAGGATGCTGCGCATCCAGCTATAGAGGGCACAGCTGCTGCATGCAGAGCAGAGCATGCTGCAGCGCTGCTCGGCCCACCCCATGGGCTGCTCCAGGATCACAGACCCCACTGTCTTCACTCTGCCCTGGGCTGGAATTGCCTCCCAGTGAAGGTAGAGATGTGCAGTCATCCCCACCAGCACCACCGTGATTGCAGCCTGTAGCTTTCCTCTACATCTCAGGCAGTCCCTTGGCACCATCCTCAGCCCCACTTCTCAATGTCTACATCCGAGCTGTCTGAAACTAGGCTTCTGTCTTTGTGTTTTCCTGAAGGCACGTCTCCTAACTGCTCCAGATGTTTACAGACCAGCACGGCTGAGGAGATGGCTGCTCCCCTCAGGAGACAGCTCGCTGCCTAGAGCTGGGAAGCACCCGCCGGAGCCCCCCAGGTGCAGCCTGCTCCATCTTCCTCCGCTGTGCCGTACAAGCTGCTCGATGCTCACAGCGTCTTTCCCGTCCCCAGGCACGGCCAACTCACAAATATGTAGCACGAGGAAAATTAAATTGAATTTAATAGCTAACTAAGTATCACCGTGGGCATTTTCTGATTGTGTTGTGCTGGGAGAGGGACAGCTGCTGCCTTGTGCCATGTAATCTCCTGTGTTGAATACAGCTCCAGCCCCTTGAACAATCAATGGCAGACCTGAAGCTTGGCTTTCCAAAGACTGTTGTCATATACTTCTTCTATTTAGCTGATGTAAGAGTGAATAGACTCCTGCACCTTTGACTCAGTGATCCTGAGCACCTCTCTTTGCATGCAGTAAAAGAGTGGGTAGATATTTTTTAAAAGTCCTTCAAGATTTTAAGAAGTGTCAAAATTTGACTTCTGCTTTTAAATGCCTGTGGTATATTTAATTTTTTCCCTCCTGGTAAGTGAAAGATTTTTTTAATGTTAGAGTTGTTCTTCCTGCAGTTTTAATGTCGATACAGTTCTTTATTTTTCTCTTTCTGTTGCAGATACAGATAAAGCCTGCAAATAAAACATTATCTGTAACAGTTTTATACATTTGGCAGTGGAGCTCTAGGAGGAAACAGATAAAGAATTTAAAATAAGGAGCACACTGTAAAAATTAATGCTTTTCGCTTGAGTACAATAAATTACAGATTAGATTAACGTAAAAACTCCCATTCCCATCCAATAAGGCATAAACCCAGAGAGCAATTGGCCCATTACAGTTTGGTCTCAGGACCATGACATTTTGAAAGTTCAAAGTCAGACAAAGACCCCAGTCCAGTACATTTCCTATACTTCTGTATTTCAGAAACAAGATAAAGGACCTTAAAAGCTGGATGTTATAGTCCTGATAGATCTCTTTCCTGTGGACACACAAAACACAAAGATTGTGATGTTCTCCTAAGACAGTAAGCACCAGCTGCAGGCTTGGAGCTTTCCCATGCAGATCCTGTTGGTCTGCTGCCTTCTGTAGGGGAAGGAAGGGAAAGCCTGAAGTATTTGTCTCACAACCACTACCTCAAAATACCCCACTACTTTGACTCCACTACCCAAAGCTTTCGTCTGCCTTTAAAACCCTTGTGCAAAACCGTACCATGGCATCTTCACTAGTATTGAGCATTTGTGGGAATTTTCCTTTGGAAGTCCCTTTTCATTAGCTCAGCCATCTTCTGTTCATGTCACCTCTTCTCAGATCTTTTCCAGCTTTCCTTTACCTTGCTTAGATTGAACCACATCTGTTCTCTCATTCTTCCAAATTCTAGGCATGTAAGAGAAAGTTTTTGCACCATGTTTCTTCATTCCTTCTTTTCTGCTAGTATTTTTCCATAGCTTTAATGTTATCTCAAGCAAGCAAACTTTTGAGACCTGCTGTGTGGTTTTTTTTTGAGACCTGCTGTTTTCCTCTGCTGCATCTCTCCCACAGTTCTACAGTGCTTGCACTTGAATCACAGATTATTCAGGTTAAGGTTCTCTGTTTTTTATGTCA